ACCGACAAATCGATGAGATCTCTCTACTAGTCTTTAAAACGCGGCGTTTTAGGATCCGCAATAAAGCCCATTAAGGTCCATATCGTGATATATATTTAAAAAGATTTCTTCACATCGGCGATTTCAGACGCGCGATTCAGAAAGCCGGTGGAGGAGCAAGGAGGGTCGGCCGCCATGGATCCAGCAGGAGCATCGGTGGCCAACGACATCGGAATTGGAGGAGAAGGCGAGAAATTCGCGGTGGGGAATATTTATTCCGTCAAAGTGATCACCGGAGATGAGTTCCGAGGGATCGTGATGGCTTACGACCCTATTCCCAACTTCGTCTTTTTTGATATCCTTCCCAGTTTCCTTTTCATCTTTTGATTCAAATTTAGAGATTTAGGGATTGTTGATTCTGACCTGAATTTGATGTTGTCCTTAATTGGTTTTTCACAAGAGGGTTCGAAACCTAGACCTGGGCATTCGAAGAATACTCGGATGGTGAATGCGAAATTCATTACAGGGCTTTCGTATTTGGGGAAAACCGAAGATCCACTTGTTACAGGCAAGTTTCCGGTTGATATCGATCTCGAAGGACTCCGAGCTAAAGAGGCACTTGCTATCAGGTTAACATTGTTGTTAAATCTTCGATTTTTTTTTTTTGTTGTTGTTGAATTCGATTGTTCCGATTAGCTTAAGCTTACTGAGAAACGTATTGAGCAGGCAAGCGGAAGCAGATGCTGAGAGAATGGGAGTTGGTGTTACCGCTGAGGCTCAGAGCATCTTCGACGCTTTGTCTAAGACGTAAGGATCTTCTTCTTTTTTTGGTATTCAAATTGAAAAGATTTGTGATCGATAGCTAATTACTGTTTACAGGTAGGGATTTTTATGGTTTAAGCGCTTGTCTTTTCTGTGTGAAGAAGAATACAAATGTTGCTTGTTTTTTGCAAATTGGTTTATGTGTATTTGTTGCTGGTAGCTACGGTAGAGATGGGACACGATCTTTAGTCAGATGGAGGAATTAGTATGAGCTTCTGTTGTGTGATTGATTGCCAAGACAAATTGTTAGAATCTTGTCACGATTTAGTGTTGTATTGCTCTAGGCTCCCAGTGATGCTCTCTGAAACTGTATATGCAAAGTTTGTCTTGAGTGTACCATTTGCCACTAGCCTGTAGGATGGAAACTGACCCTTACTAGAGTGCTCTTATGTTTAGCCACTTGTTATTGCATTGCTGAAAGAAAGGTAGGATAATAAGGTGTTTGAATCAAATTTACGAAAGAAACTAGTCATATACTTTTTGCTGCTCTCAAATTGTATTTGTGTTTGTTTTCGAAATTCAACATGGTTGTAGACTACATATGTTGCGTCCTCAAGTGTCAAGTATTATTTATTCTTCTTTGTGATACAATTAAGAAGCAGTCTAGATACATGGTTTAGACTACATATATCCTGAAATTTTCTTAGTTTCTAATATCAATTGAAAAAAAAGCAGCAGAGGTCAAATGAACCACATGTGATTTCTTTTTTCCTTTTAGGCTTCCTGTGCAATGGGAAAACTCAGACATTTTGGTGATGAAAGAAGTACGAGTTCGTAGCCCGTATCTTTCAGATTGTGTCTTTGGAGGAACTGATGCTGCCAATAACCGAGTCAAGAAAGTGGTAAGCTTCATTTGCATTTCATTGTGTTATGTAAATCAATGCCTCTGGTCTGATACTAACACATTTGTTCACCATCGTAACAGCTTGAGCTTGAGAGACGGAGGTTGCAACTCTTTGGCACATGAGGCCAGTAAAAGGAGTCGGTCAGTGAAATAGCGAAAAAGGGTATGTTACTACTAACCCGAAAAAGCGTCTAGATCACTGATCGACCAGCGAAAAGTGGGTATATGTTCGCTTTGTCGCATGTTGTTGTCTTTACCTAGAATCTGCTTTTCCTTATAAGCAGATTAGAGATTTCTTGATTTTCGGGGATTGAAATTCGGGTTTCCCTGTTATTGACAAGAACAGTGAGGTCTTGTCTCCGCTTTTTATCAGGCCTCGGTTAATTTATCGCCTGGAACTGTAAACTATTCTGAATGTTGAACTCCTAAACAACTTACTATCTGTTAGATTTTCATATCTTTTGTGCGCTAAAACTGAAGGCTTTAAGCAGTTATCTGTTAATTATCAAATAGGGAATTTAATGATTGATGTGTGAGTGCGTATTTTGAATAACCTACTTCAATGTTGATACAAACTAATTTATCTAAAATAATCATTATATTCAACAATTAGACAGTGATGGTGTACAACACCATCTTATTGAGTACATAAGATAAATAACTAACGCAGCTAGACAATAGATCGAGGTATTAATAAACAAATTAACATAATTTAGCTTGAGTGGCTTAATCAGCACCAACTAATATCTGGATTAGGAACCAAATGTCTAAATGTTAAGTTCCAACGAAGCCAACTCCGGAGACGAGAAATGCAGCCGCTTGCATGAAGAGGTAGAGACACAAGAATGTGTTCCCAAAGACAAGTCCATAGCAGGCACAACACAATATGTATATCCCAACCATAATCTCCTTCGAGTTTACGCTGCAACAAACCAAACTCTCTTTTACCCATCAGTACCAATTCTATGTCTAGTTCGTACTTAAACTTTTGATTAGTTAATAGCTACCTTTCGAAAAACCCGTTACGAGGTTTTCCAATCGGAGGAAGTAGCTTAGTCTTAAGAGCATCTCCAAATTTCTCAGTGACAACCCATTCATTCGCTCTTCCTCCTTCAACTATGCCGATGAAAGTTCCTTTTGTCCGGTGCATAGACATTACGTTTTCAAACAAGATCCAAAACATCACGAGATAGAATGATCTACAAAACTCGATATATATAATTTCATAGTAAATGATACAATCTAATATATTGATCGAAATGGAAAAAAGTCTTGGTCATAAGAAGAAGAAGTACTAACCTCGGTGTCGCAATGACGATGAAGAGGGTGATCAAACCGGGAATGTAGAAGGTTGACCAAGCTGGAATGTTGACTTCGGGGAAATAGACGCTTGTAGGAAGAATAACGCAGTAGAAGGAGAAAGTGAAGAAGTGAACTATGATCTTCCGTATGAAAAAGAAACTGCAGATCATATACAACTTTTTCCAAACCGTCACTCTCTGTTCATTGTTACAACATAAGATTTGCATTAGCTTAAAATATTTTGATAAGACTTGGTTTAACTAACCGGAACCAAATTACACTAGACTCACTAAACAAAAAAACTCATTTGGAGATTAGTTAAAAACAAAAAAGAAACTGATCCCCATCGATAAGTGACCAATAAAAAAAAAAATTGGACGTTAGCATCACATCACATGGCCTGCTTGTCTTTCATATTAACACGATGTTAAAAAAAAAAAGTAGTTGGCACGTGAGACAAAACAAATTGTGGGCACGTCACACGTGTGTTTTGATGAAGATGAAATAAAATATAAATGTGAGAAAGAGACCTTATTGCGAATAATTTCCATAATCATTTTTCTGAAGAGATTGGCTGGACCACAAGACCAACGATGTTGCTGGAATCTAAAGGCCTTAAATTTGCTTGGTAACTCGCTTTTCACCTACAAACTCAATGTGCATACCCATAACGTAATTAGTATAAGCTAAATAATTCTGATAGGCGAGACAACACTTGTATACATCAAAATAATTCAATATACTAATATAGCAGATATCATTGCACATCAAGACTAGAGTGTTATTTAATGGAATGTGTCGTTTAGTATGATGAGTAAAGTTAGATGCGATGATTTTTAAAGATTTAGATCAAAATGAATGGGTAGGGAAATGAGTACCGTGAGGTCATGTAGGAAGACAAATTTCCAGCCTAGAAGACCAGCACGAACGCCTAGGTCCATGTCCTCTACGGTGGTCCGGTCATTCCATCCTCCAGCATCTTCCATCGCCGCTATTCTCCATACACCCGCAGTTCCTGAAAGAGATCTCTTAATGTTGAATATATGTGATGATTAAAGTTGGAGTAATCAACATGAAATATTTAAATGTGTTGATAGGAAAAATGTACCATTGAAGCTAAAAAAGGCATGTCTAACGGATCCCGATTCTTGTTCTGCCATGAAGTGATAGTTGAGTGTCATCTCTTGCATCCTCGTCATCAAGCACTTGTTTGCGTTCACTGCGACCACACACAAGATCACTCAATTTTGAAATAGACTTTTGTAAGGATTCCTACAACAAGTAAAATGTAAGGAATTTAATGTACTTTGATATAATATTAGACATATATATTAAGTACACAATATCACTATTCGATCTTAGTGTGGAATTTGGTCAGATTGAACGAGGTAGAAGACTTCATTTTGAGGGATCGTTAGTCATTCCACTGTTTTGATAAAATTACTTTAGACATTACTAATGAGTTTTGAGATAGATATTTCTAAACTCTTAGAATTAATATTTTTTTTTTTTTAAGTTGTTAATTCTGAAGTGTGTCAAATTTGCTACCATGACCTACGTACTGAATCCCCATCGGGCTTGGACAAGAGCGACCTCAGGGTTGTGAACAAGGAAGGGAACGGAGCGTTGTAGGTAATCAGGCTCCGGTTGAAAGTCTGCATCGAAGATAGCGACATAGTTGCATAGGTTCACGTAGTTGTGTTTCATGCCTTGTTTAAGAGCTCCGGCTTTGTAGCCAATTCTGTTTTCTCTCCTCTCACACTTAATGTTTATGCCTTCGCTTTTCCATTTTGTACACTCTGCGTTCACCAGGTCCTGCAAGTCATTATCTTCACATTAATCTAGTAAGTTTACAAATACATTTTGAATCCCATAATTTAACAGAGATTTGATTAACAAGGAACCTTGATAGTTTGATCTGTGGAATCATCTAAAACTTGGACAATTAAGCGGTCCAGTGGCCATATTAGTCTACACGCAGCACCTATAGATAATTGAAGGACCTGCGAGTAAAACACATCATCAGTCACAAACCGATATTTTAAAATAGTAATAAACAGTAAAATAGATCTTAACGTGTATTAATTTAAAGAAATTTTACTAAATCGTTATATATTCATTTCCAAGTAATTTTGAAGTGAATTTCATTGGTCGCTCCATATTATACATAGAAAATGCTATTTTATTATATAAAGGAGAATGCGCACGATAAAAAAACGTCACATAAGCAAAATTATAACTCACCATATTACGACACATGTAATTGTTAATTTAGATTGTGACATGTGTCAATATGAAAAAAGTTAAAAATAAAATAAGGAATATATTCTAAACAAGTATTATGGACCAATTAACAAAAAAAAATTGTCATAATAATATATGTAATATTTCTAAATTTTATATTACAAAGTACATTCTTTCCATTTCAAATTATCTAAATAGTTAAAGACAAAAGGAGATGTCATAGACTATTT